CAAAAAATAATATTTATGCATTCTGTGTAGGTATATAGTAAGTCATTGTCACAGTTGATTTTACAATAAAAATGTCTTTATTTCATTACTTTTACAATGGATGGTTTTTCAAACAACGAGAAAGGCTTCGCGTGCAGGGTACTTGTTGTTACAGGTGTAATGGAATGAAAGGTTAAAGTCCCTTTTACAGTTTTTGCCAATTTGAAACGCGTCGCTAGTTTTTCTTCTTCTATCATATATTCTTCATTTGTAAAAAAATTACAATTAATATTAGGAAGTGCCTCGGTAGCCCACTTAAATAATTCTACGGGAGTTTGTATTGGACTTTCTATTCTTTGTAAACTCGCTCTAGCAGCAAGTCTTTTAAGTGTTCCTCCCAAACCGTTGCATGGTTCCTTACCGTGCGACGTTGGGAAGAAATGCCATTCGGCTGACATTTGGAAATCTTTTGAATGATGTGATAAATTTATAAAGTTTTTCTTATTCTTATATTGCGCGCTTGCTCCATCGGAAAAGTAGATAACATGATTGACTTTTGGTATTTTTTCTTTAACGAATTTAAGAAGTCCTGATTGAAACATGTGTACGGCAATAGTGTCATGATGTAGGCATTCTGAAATGGACACAAGATTTTTCATTTGTAACACATTTTCGTCGTCTTTGTAATAAATTGCGAACGGATGAATCGTCGCTTGGTTATTATTCCAATGCATGCCTTGTACTGTATTTTGAATTACGAAGGCATAGTTTTCTGCGAAATCGCAAATTACAATGCATTCATTGGCCTTTAAATTTTCTTTCTTTTTATTCAAAAATTCATTTTGCTTTTTCACAAGGTAAGAATGTTGTAATAATTTTTGTAATCCCTGAGATAAAAACTGCAAATATTCATCTACCGACGATACGACGGTTTGCAATGTAGTCCTGGCTATGTAAGTCCACTGTTTGTAAGTGATGTTGTCTATGAGGTTATCTTCAAACACAGTTTCCAAATACTCTATCAAATTTTGTACACCAGGGCATTCGGAACAAGTTCCCATATAACAGTCGGTAGAAGGAGAATCACATACCATTTTCTTAAAACAATCATGGTAATCGCTAATTACATGTTCAGTAGTAGCCGTCAGAGATTTTATACTTGCACCATCTATCATGAGTTTAACATTTTCGTGTATTGCACAAACACAAACTGAGTGGGTTCCGCTTGCCCCTGCCAGAATACAGTATTTTGGTCTTAAACTTGCAAATTTTGAGAGACTACATTTGACGTCTGGATTGGTATTTTTGAATGCTCGGTATAACTCTTTCAAATTATTCAAAATCAATCTCTTTTACATATGATTCCTTTTCCCATCAACTTTCACGGAGACGAAATCTTTTTGACCAGGCATTACTCGACTGTATTCGTCAGAATTGTAAAAGACTATTACCAAATTTGTAACATTTTCGTCCAATCCAGGATGACTTTTGGGGTTCGGTCCTGATAAAATATCTTTTTGTGTTGCAGTTTGTTTTGCTACGTTAATCATGTGGCGTGTGGCACTCGGAAAATGTTTTAAAATTTTTCGATAAGACCATTGGTGAACCACTGTTAAAATCTGTACTTGGACTGTGCGATCTATTGTATTATTAAATCTTTTCTGCAAAGCATTCAAAACATCTTGTCCATCATCGTTATCATCATCTTCGTCACTATCTTTGGAACTAATATCACAGTAAAAAATGTTCTTTTTTATTGCATCAGAAATATTTCTTAATTTTTCTGTACGATACTTTTTTTGATGAACTTTTTTCACTTTAATAGGCGAAATGGCGATAAAGCTTAATCCTCGATTCACTTCAGCAATAACTTTGGAAAAGCGTTCTTCTTTTTTTCCAGAATATTCAGAAGTGTCAGTATTAACAGGATTTTCATCAATAGATTCATCAGAAGACATAGGAACTGCGGGTGGATTTTCCTGAGGAGGTGGAACATCCTGCTGGAAACAATAAATAGATGTTCTTCATTGGAATATAAAAATTACATTTTAATTTTAGCATTATTTCATTCAATTTATGAACAATATTTAGGATTTATTTAATGATTTGATTATTAATCAAATCATTAAATTGATACATCAAAATCACATAAATTTAAAACAATCTTTTAGAAATTCACACAGCTGTATATTTTATAAATTAGATTTACAAAAAACTTTTATGTGATTGATGTGAATAATTATAAAATAATGTCATAAAATAATACATACATTTTGTTTTTCACAGCTCTGAGTTGCATCTGCTTTCTTAACAGTTTGTCTTATACGACAAGTGTTGCACACTCTTTGTTGTAGTGTTTCTTCGGTTACTGGAAGATTCCAATCTCGAAGTAGCTTTGCTGTAACCTTTCTCAAACCTTGTCTTTTGTTTGCGTGAGAACTTAAATTATATGGATTGAAACAGGTGTCCAATCGGATGTTGTTCCACTTCTTTTTGGTCGATTTTGTCATTTTGTTGATTGCAGATTGTGATGTCTGTATGATAATAAGAATATTATGATAAACAGTATATTTTAACCCTGCTAGAAATATGATCGTGAATTTTTGTGATTATCTGTTGAAAAATGATTCTATTATGTTTAAAAGGGTTGAAAATTTAACCTTTTCTAAACAATTTTCCACATCTCTGAATACATTTCAACACATTTCATCAAATTTAGACAGTTATTAACATTTTTTATCATACTTAAACATTATCATAAAAAATTACGTTTGTAATGTATGTCATAAAAATCAAAATGAAATTACAACACTTTTGGTAACGTATATTTTAATAATATTACACACTTGTCCACACATGACACACTTATTCACAGTTTTCAACGCTTTTCAACAAAAACCAATATTTTCCCCCAAGGAAGTAAATAATAATTTTATTAATATACAATTATTGCGAAAAAATATAGGTACTTACATGTTTAGATAATATCTGCTCCACAAGAATGTTATAATTGCGAACAACTAAATGTTCGACGACTACCAAAACTATCGTACGGCAAATACAACGTTTGTTTTCACAACTGAACACGATCGAACACGTCCGTTACTTAGGACTTAGGGATGCGACATCGGAGATCGATATTCTAGATTATCAATATCGGTCTCATCGATATTTCGATATTTTTATCGATATCGGTGTCATCGATATTTTTCCATATCGATACCCAGATAGCACACTTCTTCTTATTACTTAATGGCTCCCGCCTCCAAACAACAAAAGGAGGTCGATACGGCCAGATCACATCTTGATTGAACGAAACTACTTGTGTCATGAAACAGTAAAATTATATACACGACAGAGCGCCCAGAGTGGAGCTGACTGCTCCAACTAGTATACCGCGCGACCGAGTCAAGCGGAGCGGAATGCTTCGCTAGGATGGGAAGGGATGGACGAAGGCAGGGCATGGCGCCTGCGCAGGTCGCGGGAAGGCGCGAGATACGAGCTCAGAAATGCCTGTTACAAGCTTTGCAAAGATTGAGAATGAGGCGGCAGACACATTCTGACGGGTCAGAAATGGCCTGCGAGAATTTATTAGCATTGTCACCGGCGTTCGAGGTGCGGTCAACCATGCGTCTTAAATATCGCGCTTGGACGTAGGTGTAAGGGCAATCATAAATCAGGTGAATAATGTCTTGTCGCGACGATCCGCAGGGACAAGAGGGATCTTCAAAAAGATTTTTGCGGTATAAGCTGAAGTTAAGATTGTAGTGGTCGG